TGTGTGTGTGTGTGTGTGCGCTCTGCAGCCTTAGCTGTTTGCAGTGAGGCCTACTTCAGCGCTGTGGCTAAGATGGGCGACCAGGCCCTTCACACGCTCTCATCTCGCTCTCTTGGTAAGTGTGTGTATCTGTGAGTGTGTGTGTGTTTTTATGCATGATTGATTACTCAATCTCTCCATAACAGGTTTCACCCTTAATTTATTGCATTCATTACAGAGACATAATTGTCCTCTGGAGATGGCTAAGTGCTCTATCAAGTTAATGTCAAGCCCATTCATACTGACGCATCCCAGACTGTAAAATACCACACACCCTCAGTAACCTTAAAACTGCATCCTTATACTGCTCTTTCTCATCCTCTCTTGTCTCTGTATGTGTGCTCATGTGTGTAGTTGTGTGTGTGCATGTCCTGAGTGCATGCATGAGTGCATATTTTCCACAAGCTTCACTTTCACTCCGACCCAGGGGATGTGCGATACTGTAGCATTGTTAGTGGTAATTAGCATAATGCTAACTCATCCCCCATTGAGAGTGTGTGGGCTAGTGCATCAGTGCTAGCACAGTGTGACACACGTGGTTCTGCTGGGTCGGCTAACTGAGAAGGTCAGGGAGCCACAGCGTGACTATGGGCCCTATTGAGTGACAGCCTCTAAATTATAAATGGGGACAGTCTTTCAGCTGCACTCAATTCATTAGCTCAACCACAATCCATGACAATAGACAACACCAGAGGCACCCATAACATAAAGGGCTTGGCTAGCTTTCCACCATCTTAGCATGATGACTTGAGCAGTGTTGAATTGTGTTAAAGTCATATATCAAATGACTGATATTCCCGCTAGAGTATTGTGCCTTTCTTTTGTAATGAACATAAACACAAAATGAGTGATAGCAGTAGATCAGTAGTATTTCAAAATGTCTCTGGATCTCCTGTATTCTAGAAATGGAGGATTTCATATGTTCTGTCTTAAAATGGCTGTGTTTTTGGTCTTCAGGGAAATTCCTGGAAAAGTAATGACATTCCTTTTATTGTTAATTCAAAATCTAGTGTTACACTGCATTACAGTTGAAACAACTTAAGGGACGTGATGGCGATCAACCTGAACTTATTAAGTTATCACCTAGGCTCAGGTTTTAGGCAAGGCTGCAAAGCAATTATCACACATGTCCATGAAACAAACCTTTATTTTAGGATTTTCAATATACAACAAACGCTCAGTATGTCATGTTGATAACTCAGTCACAAATATCTTCACAGGTAGAAAAACAAAAAACAAGTCCTAGGACTCCAACATTACTAGTAAAATAAAATACATATACACAGCGTTAGAGGATTTACTGTTACACTGTCAGACCATTACAATCCACTACTCTTGAAGTAGTCTAGTACGGGGCTCTAAATTCTGACAAATATTTGAGTCTTATTCTTACTAGAGAACCTTAACCTTTCTAAGTGCACTACATTCATCAACTCTCTTATCCACATATCATATGTTGGTGCACACTCTGACCTCCACATAAGTAGAATAAGTTTCCTTGCCACAACCATACCAAATGAAGTGGCCTGAATTTCATACTTGTCTGCCAAAGGTAAGGCACTCATGGCACCTAGGACAGCAACTAGTAGGTTCGGTTCCCAGTTCTTCTCAAAGGCTTTGAGAAACATTCAAATATACAAAGTTTTGTTAAATAAAAAATAAATGCACACAGCCTTGTCAAAATTATAATCTAAACATGTGTCAAACTGCATTGACATCTGCAGGATCTTTGATTTTCTATCCCTCAAAAACAGGTGTAACCTTGACATTTCGTAGTAAGTAAAGTACTGTGCTCTGGTCTATTAGCATATGCAGCTAGTCGTCTAACGAGCGAATAAAGTTAGCAAGCTCTAGAAGTTTGCTACTTTGCAAATGCATGGAAGTGCGTGTTTAATTATGTATGGCTGTATTACTATATAGTCCCAACAGTTAAATAAAGTCGTGGAAGTGGGGTGAAATATTATGGAAAAGTTTTGAAAATTCACTGGTTAAAATGTATGGGAACCCTGGTACTTGCACCCAAAGAACATTTTGTTGCAAGTATATAAAACATATGAAATACATTATGATATAACGAACAATATAACAGTATGATATGGTGATGGTCAGTCAAGTCTCTGATTTCTCTTTCTGTTTGTTTAAAACAGGGGATGTTCTGATCCAAATATCAGAAACACAGAGAAGACTCACCGCAGAAATGGAAGGAGTGGTCAGTGCAAGCATTCAGTCAATACTCATGTTATTCAAACCAAAACACTGGATCCCAGCAGTCTCAGAAAAGCTGGCTAAATCTTTTAAGTGTCTTGAAAAGTTTCTACTGAAAGTACAAATATCTCGAACTATTTCGTAGTAATGGTGGTGATCAGGTCATATGTGAATAAATAATAACCACAGTTAGTGAAATGGCATCTTCCTTAAAAAGGTTGTGATTTTATTAAATCCATTTGATTTTATGATAAGTGAGTAATGCCCTTTGTTAACGAAGAAAGTTTGTGCAGAGTGCTGACTTGTTACAAACTGGTGGACCACAGTTGAGCTCTACAGAAAGCTCTCAGGAAATGAGTTCCTGCTTGCATTTCACTGCTTGTTTAAAATTCATAGCGCCACTCGAACCCTTACGCTTGATTGCCGTGGCTTTCAGTGATGTGAATAAGCAAAACATGGCCTCTGATTAAAAAGTTGGCCTGAGGATGGATCACATTTGCATATAGATTTAGTCACACAAAACAATCTACTGTTTGAACAAGGGGGAAGTTTCCATAATGACTTGGCTGCATCACCGCAACATTGTTGTTCTTTCTGTTGCAGTTTCGATGGTTCCAGGTAGAGGTGTTGCAAGCAATGGAGAAGAATGTTAAGTTGGATGAGGAGTACATTGAGGTGAATTCACTGAGGGGGAACGTGTTTGTATATCTACTCCTCTGAGGGCTGGGTTGTGTTGAGGAGAATTTTGGGGAACTTACTGGACTAGGAGTGTAGTTTATGGAAACAATGAGTAAGCTACTCTCATTATATTCAGTGGGAGGTCTGCATTGCAATCATTTGTGGATTCATTGTCTAAATTCATAAATGCTTATTAAGTTGTTGACTAAATAGAAAGAGAAAATTCTGAGCAAGATATTCGTTAGTACGGTTTTTGCAAATAAATGCTTAGTGGACTAAATCAATTTTAGGACTGTAGTTTATTCCTACTTTATGGCTCAACAAATGTAAGCTACATGTGTGTATAGTTTACTTAGGAGTTCGCATTTGTTGCAGTTCTCCTAATGATCTGAAATGTACCTACATTTTTGGTAGTCTTGATATGTAATTAATATTTGCATATCCTCCAATAAGACAAGTGAACACTGTAATTGACCAATAACTTTACTTTTTGGTAATGAGTTGCAGACAGTTTTTTACGGCTTTATAAGAATATCTTACATGCATCTGGTCACTTTAGCCACATTTATTGCATTTCTAATTGCATAAACCTCTTCTGAGAACTTCCAGTACCCATCTGAGTCTGAATTCATCTGTGAGGTTAAGTCAGTCAAGACCACAATCAGCTGAGAGGTAGTTAGTCTCAGGAAAACTTTTCATCATCACATCAGAGCTTCTCAAATCAAACTGTTTCCTGTACTTCAGGGTAGTCGCAGAGTGTATGAGCTGGAGGTGAGGAACCAGGCAGAGGCTTTGGAGAAACAGCTCAGACGAGGAGCCTACAGGGACTCTCTGGTACTTAAACAAACATACACACACATACATAAACATGATCTAAGATGGTGGTGCGCACAGACACAGCAGTCTGGCGCTCTCCAACTGTTAGCAGTTTTACACCTATACTAACACTAAAAGAAGGCCCAGCGGTGCCTGAAGGCCCAGCGGTGCCTGTTTTTTCATGTGGACTCTGAGGCGCAACAGACTCCCTCAAACACTGTTGATCAGCTTCTGCTGCTTCACCATTGATAGTATCCTGACACACTGCTGTACAGTCTGGTACTCTAGGTGTGCCGCTGCAGACAGGAAGAACTTGCAGCGGATAATTAATTATCTACCTATCCATCCATCCATCCATCCAAAATCTCTTACAGTAGTATTAGGATGACCTTAATTGGCTTAAATGACGACATGTCCAGCTTGGGATTGTTAATTATCTGATTAAGCAAAAGCTAGCCATCACAATTTTTATGTAACGTTAGGTTTTAACATTGTTTAATGGAGCCTAAAATTAGCTAGTTGTTTTTCCAAATTCAACTTGTCTAACAAAGACATTAGCACTCTGAGACTACTCTGTTTAACTTTACTAACATTACCATTATGCAGGCGATGACAACATAAGTTAAGCTCAGCCAAAGTGCCAACTAACTAAATATTAACGGCATCCCCTGATGGTTTGCATTGTCTTTATGCTAAGATAATATTAGTAAGGCTAATACATGTCTTAATCTTGATATGATTAAACAGTTTGCTTTTAGAATTGTTATGAAACATGAGATTAATCCACGAGACAACGGTGTACATTAAGATAAAATGGACCTATGTTGCTTGTGATGTATTTAAAGTGAACACTTGTTACAGTTGCCTAATTATGTTGCTTGAGGAGGGGGCAAATGCCATTATCCCTGAAAAATAACTGCTGAATTGAAATTAACTTTTAGTTTTTCTATTAGTTGCCGTGGTTCTGAAATACATAAATAAATGGCATATCTAAGGCCTGTCTAATAACTGACCAAACAGCAGTTGCAAAGAGCAAATACCACATAAATCATAAATTTTTCCGAGCTAACACCTCCACCTTTTTCATCCCTGATGGGTACATCAACATCCACACAGTCCAGCAATACTTCTTCACAATTATGTCATTTCTAATGTGTGTGTGTGTG